CCCCCGCTCCCCCCCAACAAGTCCAGGCATGTTGAACCACCGACAGGAGAAAGTCGAGTTTTTCATGAAATGAAAATTGTTTAATTCACCGTGGAAACGACACGACTTCAGGTAAAACTTCAGCTCGGGGGGAGGGAGGGGGGGGAGAGGGGTGAGTCAAAAAGTACTGAGACAGAAGATAAGGGAAGAAAAATAATGTTTGGGTCCTGCATCTTCATCTCCATCTTCATCTCCTCCAGCTCAGCCAAACCAAACATCTAATTTTTTCATTTTTCAGATATTCTTCTGCCACAAATCTGCACGTTAACACGTTTGAAAGACATTTGAAATGAAATTTAAAAAAATCTATTTCAATCTGACTTTTCATTTTCCTCTCGTCCATCACAGAACGTTTTTTTCTCGTGTCCAAAACACCACCGTCCCTGAGCTAAGCTAAGCTAACAGTCTGATTGTGAATTTATTTTGACTTTTTTTTTCCACTGTAATTCACAACGTTGGCCACTTGCTGTGAGAGACGGTTGGTTATTTAAAAACCCCCAGCACTAGCCTGTTGCTAACAGGACCCGGCCTGAGCGGTGTTTGTGTAAGGAACAGGCCTATTATTTTGACTCCATGGTTACTGTAACACTAGCCAGCGTTAACCCAGGGGTTTCAAACAAACCCAGATCCTTTGGATCGTGACGGCTGAACAGAAATAACATTTACTGGGTAAAAATATGTCTTTTGTGCCACGGCCTGTCTTTGTGTTTAAATCAGTGCTGTGTGGTAGAGAAGGCTGCAGGAAAAAATGTCGTGGAGAAAAAAAAAAAGTACCACTCGGAGGTTTGTCGGTCGGGATCCTTGCCTTACAGTAAAGGGGTCACAGATTTGAGACCAAGAGACGTTGCCAGTCTCCCCCAGGGACACATATCTATGTGTACTTGTACTTTACTGTACATTTGTTACTACACTGAATGAAACACCAGCAACTAGTGTTTCCCAAACTTTTTTTTTTCTGAGGTCCCATATTTTAAAAGTCATAAACCTTCGTGACCCAATGCTAGACGACCCCAAAAAAAAATCTCTTGCGACCCACCTGAGGGTCACGACCCAGTCTTTGGGAAACAATGAACTACATGATAGGTTAATTCAGAATCACTGGTTTCTACAGCAGGGGGCGTATCAAACACTGTTGAAGCTCAGCTTCATTGGTCTTCTGTGGGGGTGGGGTTACTGTACCCTCGGTGCACGGCCTCCGCGGGCTGATTCTCACGGCCTCACAGTAAACTCTGCCGTCACTGATGTTTTTATGTCGCGACAGTGAAGGGCGCCCGTTCACTTCAAAGGACTTTCTTTCTTTGACAGAAGATAAGAGACACGGGTCACCAGGGGTCCGCCATAAAAACCGATCTGTGATTCTCGGCACCTCCAGGTTTCACTTCACAGCCTTCGTCGGTCACTTCTGATTCGTTTTCCAATTCAGAACCGATGGAGAAGTGAAAGTTCTGGACAGTCAGTACCACAGAAGAAGGAACTGATTTATTTTCACTCTAGTGTCTGTCTCTAGGGACTCCCCCCCCCAAAAAAAATTTTAAAAACTGCATTTACACTGGAAAAGTACCAGGAATTCAGTGTTGGTGGAACAAACTGGTTCCTTCTCGCTCCTCCTGCCTGACTTTCCACTCAGGTGTAATAATTATGCAGAAAATGTCCTCTGACGTGAACAAAAAGTTCCACCAAGTCTTCACTTCTGCTGTTGATTTATGGAAATGGAATTAAACACCGAAACTCTGCAGCGCACGGTGATTTTCACTAACTGAGTCTTAGCGTAGCTTAGCTTAAACCATAGTCTTTAAAAGCTGCTAAAAATAAACTCAAAAAGAAAAAAAAAGATGGAGATTGAATCAATAATTCCATACATTTGTTCTTTTTTTATTATTTCATCTAATCAGACGCAGAAGAATCTAAATATAATCTAATCTAAGTCAAGCTAATCTAATCTAAATCAAGCTAATCTAATCTAATTTAAGATAATCTAATCTAGCACTTATCTTGATCGAGTCTGGTCTAATCTACATGACTTTACTGAACTGCTCGTAATGTTTTTTTGTTTCTTACAATTTGTACTACTTAATTAAACAATTAATAATCAACCATCTTCCAGAATGTTCGAACAAAGTCGAAGCTACGGTCGAGTCGTCGCCGAGGTTCCGTTTTTTTTCTTCTTGGGCTCCACCCTCCGCTCCAGTCCTGATTTTCAGGCCAGGTTTGAACCACTCACGGAGAGAGTTTGTGGAGAGAGTTCCAGGGTCTGAAGTCCCTGCTCCACGCTCCACCCCTGGTGTTTCTGATTTCCAGGTCTTTGTCCCCGGAACTTGCTCCCTCTCTCATTCCTGTGTTTCCACCAGGGTTTTCTGCTCGCTCGCATCTGGATCCCGGCTACGACCAGCAGACGTACACACATCCAGCCAGGGTCCGAGGTCGTCAAGTTTGGAAATAGGAGAAAAAAAAAACAGGAGGAAAAAAAAGGAGAGAAAGAAAGAAAGACAGAAACACGTACCGGCAACTTGTACCGATCGTTTCCCACCGCGGTGAACACTTCTGTCGGAGAGACTGAGATTATTGCCCGAAGCTAAAGAGAGAGAGAGAGTAAAAAAAAAGTTTCACTCGTTTCATAAACTGCTCTTCGTGATTTTTTTTTCCACCGAGTGCAGGACACGAGCAGATTTCACACCGACGTGGAGGAGTTTGTCGGCGATCGTGCGGTTGTTTGTCGGCGTTTTTCTCGGTGAATGAGTTGGAAGAAAACAGCGTCGGTCTCCATGAGGAAACTCGGCGTGGGAGTTTGTAAAACTTCGTCCTAGTTCGTTCACACCTGAGCGCCACCGTCGTCGTCAGTCCGTGTCCCCTTCAACCTTATTTTATATCACTTTTATTCTTTTTATTTTTTTGGAGAAATGAAGACGCTGCTGTGGCTGAGTGTAGCCTCCACGCTGGTTGTGTTGTCGGTGTCTGTGACCGCGGAGCAAAAGTTAAAAAACTGTAACGAGGTCCGGGCAGCGTACAGCTCCAAGGGCTTCAACGTCAACGACGTCCCCAACAAAGGAGTCAACGGTGAGTTTTGAAAAAACAAAAACAAAAAAACAACACTGTTTTATTGAACTTTTTTATGTAGAAAAAACAAAAAAAAAAGTTTTCACCTCTCAGTCAACTGTGACCGAGAACTCATGGTTTCGAACGTTAGGGTGCGGGACCATTTTGTGTTTCGCGTGGGGGTCCTCCTGCGGTCCAACTGAAGCTAGCAGTTAGCATAAGAATAGGGGTCATTGTTTGGTAAAAAAAAAAATCGGGAAAAAGTTATACTCGTAACTGGTGTCACTTTTTATTTGAATTTTAACTCTTTATTTACCCTTTTTTTGGTTTTTAATTTAACCATTTATTTACCCTTTTACCCTTTTTTTTTACAAAAGGCCTAATAATAAATATAATGGAATTGGAACTTGATTAGAGAAAATTAAAGGAACTTGATTTGATGTTGATTCTTACAGTAGAGAAAAGTGTCTGGACTTTGTTGATATTAACAGCTAGTTTTAAAAGCACCATCTCCTGCTGTGGGGGCAGTCAGTAGCCATGATGTTTTTTTTTATTTCCACATCTTAAAATTCTAAATGTACTGAGATGAGGAGGAGGAGGTGATGATGATGTCACGCCTGAGCTGCGACACCGACGGCCAACACGCGTCTGTGGAAGAAAGCGAGGAAACACATGGAAGTCAATAGTCCTTTCCTAACGCCGCTGACTACTCCGCTGGGAAAAATATAGTCTTCATCTAGGAAATAGTTGTAGGTAATTCATAACAATGAAGAGGTATAATCAACACACGGCGCTGGCTCCCCACTGGAACAGGCCGGGCCTGTGTTTATTTCCAGGCTTCCTTAGTAGAGACTCCCATGGCTGTGAAGTGCAGGCGGCCAGCAGTGATTTGGTAAACATTGCTGCACACTGCGAACAAGGCTCTTAGACCCCCCCCCTCCTCCCCTCTCTCCTTCCCCCCTCTCCCCTGGGTTTGTGTGATTTCTGTGGTTTTCACATATTCTGTGGAGACACATGTTGTGCTTGTAGTTCTGTTTGCAGGAAGTGGGAAGTGAAGACGTCGCTGTCGTCCGCGGTGGTTATGATGATAATAATTTGTTAGCAGCTCGACAGAGACCAGGAGGCGACTTAATTGATCTAATCCCCGACTTAAACCTGACTAATGGAAACCCGTGTAGTCGGCCTGTTACAGTGGAGGCTCACAGAGGAAAGCTGGGGGGGGGTGGGGGGGTTTTGAAATTCCACTGTGTTCTGCATACTTTAAATCCCTCCCTTCTCTAATTTCCTTTTCATTTTTTATGGTGGCTAAAACGAACACACGTCCAAACCCCCGGCAATCACATCTTTGTCCCGTGGACGTGTGTCACCCAGACACGGCTGTTGTCACGTCACGCTCCTGTCTTACCCCCCCCCGCCCTCTTTCCTCCCCCGACCCCCGTTTTTTTTTTTTATATAATCATTTCTGATGTCACGGCGAGTTCTGCAGCTCATTGACCACATGCACATTTTCAGAAACTTTCTTCTTCTTCTTTCTGGCCCACTCTGTTTCTTGCCACGTCTCCCGGGTTATTTTTCTGAGATTTTTCTTTTGTCCGCCATGAGTTGAAACCACGATCACGTCGTCCTTTTTTTTTTTGTTTGTTCAGGCAACAACAAATCATTTAAATGTGACTTGCATCTGACTGCCGCAGATACAGAGAGGTTGTTTTTTTTGTGTGTGTCATTGTGATGCTAACAGTCCCTGACAGTAGCCAAACAAGCCTCCGCTGGTCGGCTCTTATTGTCAGACGTCTGTGAAGTTTTGCAGAACGAATGAATGAAGGTTCAATTCTGTAGGTTTGTGTTGTGTACACACACGTGTGTGTGTTTTCCCAACAATAGTTTTCTGGTGTGTGTCCTGGTTCAAGTCCGGGCCGACCTCGTCGAGCGGTTCTTTGTCATTGATGGAGATGGAGATAATTGATCCAAAGAAAGCACCAGTGTCGGCCGTCATTAACGAGCAGTAGGGGTCGACAGAAAGCTAAAAATCAGACACGGAGTCCCACAGGGAACGGGTCGGAGCTGCAGATCTGGACTCACATTTTTTTATCCTTAAATTCTCTGCACGTCGGTCTCAGTTCAGGTCTCAGAAAAAAAGAAATGGCTTTAACTGTTCAATGTGTCAAACTCAAGGCCCGTGGACCGAATCTGGCCCATCCTGTCATTTAATGACGGCCCACCAGAGCTTCACGTTTGTACGGTACTAATGTGTACTGGATAAGTAAATACTGTTTGTGAGTTAGCATGGCAGCTAAGTACGACTTTTACTTCAAATTCCAATTCTAATCAAAAGTGCAGTGTTAGCATAAAGTACATTTTTATTCTGAGACAATTTATGTGAAATAATATTATCATTTTTCTTGATGCTAATATTTTGAATTTCATTTTTTAATTTGTTTTAATGAGGGAAAAAGTCTGTTGTTCTTGACTTTGTTGATCTTAACATAAAAAAAGGCTAAATCCAAACTCCGTTCCGGGCCACCTTAAGACGAGAATGTTTCCGAAATCCACGTTTCCATCCGACTCAACAGATCTTTTAATGCTGTAAAAAACTAAAATGGAAACCCTGAATGCAGCAAAGGTGGGATTAAAGGATCTAGAAGAAGAGCCGATCCAGATAGTAAATTCCTTTTTGATCCTTTAGTAAAAAAAAAAGTGTTTAACCACTGGGAGTGGACGCGTAATTCTTTTCCACATTACCGGTTGGATATGTTTAGATCATGTGACCTAAACAATGGTCTCATTTCTAGTGATGAAGGATTCGTGCTGCAGGCGTCCATATATACTCAACACAGGAACCGTTACAGCGGACCCAACGATCTACGACGTGGACCGGCTCTTGAGAGCAGAATATTTAACTCCAACCAGACTGGAGTTTCTAAAGCTACTTGTT